ATGATCATAATTCACCCTTTGAAATAAAAAGAGGGTTTTGGGGACTAAGTGTGTGCTTTTCACTGTATCAGGAAGCCAAAGTCAGAGCACTAGACAACTAAACATGCAGAAGGTATCTTAGCCAACAGAAGCAGAGGAAGCCTAAGAAGTGTTCCAGAAGGGACCCTCCCTGATTCCTGAAGAATACAGGAAAGGAGGGAAGAGGTCTATAGGTTTGTTTATAGCAACCTTACAATAAAGATCTCTGGGTTATCTCAGAGAGCGGACAATGTCCAATGCCATTTAATTCATAGTGTTTTCCAAATTAAAATAACTATGTCCACTCCTGTGTCTTTTGGGTTCCATAGTTGATCTCTGCTTGTAGATGAAGAACCACAAAAAAACCCATGAAGTCCTCAGTGAGACCTTTCCACAGCACCAGAGGGCAAGAGAAGAAACAATGAGTAGAAGTTTGTCAAAGAAAGAATCTAGAAGTAAGGAGGAATTTTCTGACAGCGAGAACAATTAAACAGTGGAATAGTTTATTTGGGTTGTGAATGCTCCATCCCTTGAGGTTTTCAAAAGAAGATTGGATAACCATTTGATTGAGATAGTATAAGGTCCACTGCCTTTAGTAGGATGTTTGGACTAGAAGACCTCTGAGATTCCTTCCAGCCCTATGACTCTATATTCTATGTTCTAAGGCTGTGATGGTGAACCTATGGTATGCGTGCCACAGGTGGCACACGGAGGTCTCTCTGCCGGCACCTGAGCCCCAGCTGAGCTCCACCAAGCATGCACTACTGGCCAGCTGATTTTGGGGTCTCTGCAAAACACTATATAATCCATCGATATACGTCCAACAGGAACAGGAAGTGCCTCACAGGAGCAGATAGAGGTAAATCCTAGAGAGGTAGGAAATGCATCACTGAACAATGGAAGTGAATGTTAGAGAGGAATAAAGCTGCATACAAGACCGACATAACTCCTGCAATAGCATAGGCCAGTAGTGGGCTGCAGGCAGTACGCCCCGGTATGGGTGTACCGGTGCCTGCCCGGAACACTGGGTACCGTTCCAGTATGCTGCTCCAGAGGGCCCACCCACTCGCCCGAGCTCCTTACCTGTTTTTGAGTTCTTCGGCACTTCTGCACATGCACATGGAGTGCACGGGTGCCTGCATGATGCTCCGCTGAGCAGCTGCAGTGTTGTGGAGGCTCACAGAGGCGTAGCAAGAGGTAAGAACACATGCGCATGCTGCACACATGTGCGCGCTCATGTGGTTGACACTGGGCCCCGTTGCAACCATACCGGTTGCAATGGGATATGGAATCCACCACTGGCATAGGCATGCACGGGGGGGGGGGTGCAGGTGGTGTGGCGCCCCCCCCCTGCACCCCTTTTCTGGTCCCAGGAGGATTCAGGGAGGCCTGCTAGGGCATAAATGGGATGTGG